ACACACACACACACACACACACACACACACACACACCCTGTGTGTGCGTGGGGAAGTGTACCTTGCTCTTGCCTCCCCTTAACTAAGTCCTTATTCACTAGGCGCCGGGCGGGAGGAGCCTCTCGGCGCCACTGCAGCGCGAGCTGCTCGAGGCGAGACGAGACGCCTTTGAGCAAGACCAGAGGTGTGCGAGATATGGGGAGATATGGGGAGATAGGGTGAGAGCAAGACCAGAGGTGTGCGCAGCCCGAGCCCGGAGGGGAGGGGAGGGGGGGAGAGGGGTTTGGGGGGAGGGGAGGGGAGGGGGGGAGAGGGGAGTTTGGGGGGAGGGGAGGGGAGGGGAGGGAGGGGGAGTGGGGGGGGGGGGGGGTCACCACTCTGAGGCCTCGGCGGGCGCGGCACCGCGTAGGTCGGCGCTCGTGAGAGAGCAGCAACGGGAGGTGATCGCGCTGCAAAAGCAGCTCGCGCTGCTCGGTTGCACGCCGCCCGCCGCCAGCGCCGCCAGCGCCGTCGCCGCCAACTCGCCCGCCTCGGCACCCGAAGGGTATAACACTTCTCCGCCCGGCGCCGGGGAAGGGGGTGGGGAAGGGGCGAGCAGCCACCACCGCCCGAGCGCATCGACGCCCTTCCTCGTCTGATTGCGGCGCCCGGTCTCTCACGCTGCCGCCGCAAGTGGCCCCGGGTTGCGACTGTCTCTTGTCCTTTGTCGGAGTGTGTGTTCGGATTGATGTGCCGTGATCTCTGAGTTCTGTGGGCCCTGGGGAGCGGCGAGGGGCGAACCCAGGACACAGAGCGAAAGTGTGTGGTGCCCGTGTCTCGTGATCGATTATCTTTATGTGCAATGTAAGCGACGAGAATGCCATGCTCGTGACCGAAGGCGGCTACGGCCCCGTCGTGACTAGCCCCGTACACGCCGCTTTCGTGGGGGCGCGGAACACACCAATAACACGGCGGAGCTGTCAGCGCTTGCGGAGCTCTTTTGCTCACTACTCCACACGGCACCACGACCAGCAGGCTCACGAGGGGTGAGGTCCGAACGGACAGCGAGTACGCGATGGCGTGTGCGACGGGGAGAATTTCCCCGGGGGAGAACGCACACGAACTAGCGAGCTATCTTCGTACTTCGAGCAGCGTGGCGGCATTTAGCGTCGAGGCACGAAGTCTGTGACATGGAGACACGCCAAGGGGCACAGTGGTCATAAGTGGAACGACTACGTCGATAAGCAAGCTGACCTCGGCAGGAGCGGCGCGAGGGATTGCGGCGCGCCGGAGTCGACGTGTCCGTCCCGGGCGTGGAGATGCGAGGGTCGCCCCCCCTTGCCCCACCGCTTTTGTGTGCGTGTGGAGACGTTTACCTTACCTTAACTTACCTATAAGGCATCTCTCTCCAACACATACTGAACTCTCAAGGTGGCGAATCCGCTGGGTATCTAGATAAAGAAAATTTTGCTCGAGATGGCTCTCCTTTGGGGTAAAGAACCCTGCACAAAGATCGCAAGGGCGGGGGCCTGTTCCTTTTTACCCATCTCACAGTAGAGAGGTGTCCGTTTTATTTATTATTTATTTATTGGGGTAAGGACGGTAAGGGGTAGAGCCTGACTGTTCTTCACTCGGATGCATACAGAGCCTTAGATTTTTAGTCTCTCACGCCTCTCCATTGGCCACACAGAGCGCAAGTGCGGCTGGACGATCTCGAGCACAACATGCCTACCCTCCCCTTCAACGGCCCCGTCGGTCGGCCTCAGTCAGTCTGTACTATGCCGACTCCGCCGCGGGCCCGCGCACACGCGGCGCTCGAGGCCCTCTCCCGTCGCCGCACCCAGCACCGCGCCCCTCGCCAGGCCCAGTTGGATGCGGGTCGTCTAGATCCGCCGATCGGGTGCCGCCACACTCCCACCGCACCCCGGCGCGCCCCCGTGTGCGAGAGGCACGAGCCCCTCCCACCCCTCGCGCTCCAGGGAGCCCCCCATCCCTCATGCACCGAGGCAGCACCCCCCCGATTCCCGGCGGCGGCGGCGGCGGCGCACCAGCTACGGCGCCGCCGCCTCGCCGCCTCGCCCCTGCTGGAGGCCTCAGTCGACGCAGCGCGAGCGCGCCGAGGAGCAGGAGGGGCAGAGGCCCGTCCCGAGCATGCAGTCGATGCAGACGCACGCCTTGATGTCGTCGACGAGCGCCTCGAGCGCTCGCTTGCTCGCCTCCAGCTCCTCGTTATGCTGCCGCAGCGCATCCACCTCGACGCGCAGGGCGGTCACCTCGGCGAGGAGGGCGGCCATCGACGTGCCCGCCGGGAGAGAGGGAGAGCCGGGCGGCGACGGAGGGGCGCTCGGAGGCGCCTATACATGTGAGCCGACCCTCTGAGCGACCCTAGGTGCGAGGGTGGGCAGAGCCGCGGCCGGTGCAGGCGCTATGAGCTCGCCTGGCCAGCGGCGTCGATGGCGTCGTAGGCGTCGTAGGCGGCATTCAACGCGGCGTCGTCCTGGGCGTCGAAGTAGAGCGCCGCCCCGCCACCCGCCCAGCCACCCAGCCCGCCCGCCGCCGCGCCGCCCGTCGCCACCGCCGTAGCCGCCGCCGCCGTAGCCGCCGCCGCCGTAGCCGCCGCCGCCGCTGCCGCCTCCCACAGCGGCAGCCCCGGCGCCTGGCCGGCCGCGCCCTGCGCCGCCTCCTCGGGCCGGACCAGCTGGAGAGCGGTCTGCCAGCCAGGCTGAGTGCAGCGGCGGAGCGCTCTCTCGCTGCGGCGGAGGGAGAGGCGGGATGGGAGAGGCGCCGTGCGGCCGTGGGGAGGTGGGGCCGTCTAGCCTGCGTCCATCGGAGTCAGCAGCAGGCGGCGAGATAGGCCAGAGGTCTCCAGCAGGTCTCAACCAGGGACGCGGCGCCTCTCCCCGGACCGCCCGTTTTTGGTGCCAATGCGTGATAACGAAAGGGCGCGGATTCCCTCCCTCTCCTTGCCCAAAGGACTTCGCAAGGACTTTGCCGCTCTGCTTCCTCGGCGCCCCCGTTGCCGGTGGAAGTGGCAGCGGGTGGAATAGAGGTCTGTGAATGAAAGGCGGTGCGACCCTTCCTTCCTTCGCTCACTCAGTCGACGGGCGCGGAGGCGCCTAGTAGTAGCAGTAGCAGTAGTAGCGGCTATCCAACTTGCCTGGCTGGGGCTGCCTGGGAAGCAGCCTGTTCTGTTCACAGTCGACGCAACCTAGGAGTAGTAGCAGTAGCAGCAGTAGCAGTAGCAGTTAGCTAGTGGCAGTGCGGGCAGCAGCAGAGCAGCAGCAGTAGCAGCAGCAGTAGCAGCAGTGGCACAGCAAAGTTCAGTCGACGGCGAGGCGCCTAGTAGTAGCAGTAGCAGTAGTAGCGGCTATCCAACTTGCCTGGCTGGGGCTGCCTGGGAAGCAGCCTGTTCTGTTCACAGTCGACGCAACCTAGGAGTAGTAGCAGTAGCAGCAGTAGCAGTAGCAGTTAGCTAGTGGCAGTGCGGGCAGCAGCAGAGCAGCAGCAGTAGCAGCAGCAGTAGCAGCAGCAGTAGCAGCAGTGGCACAGCAAAGTTCAGTCGACGGCGAGGCGCCTAGTAGTAGCAGTAGCAGTAGTAGCGGCTATCCAACTTGCCTGGCTGGGGCTGCCTGGGAAGCAGCCTGTTCTGTTCACAGTCGACGCAACCTAGGAGTAGTAGCAGTAGCAGCAGTAGCAGTAGCAGTTAGCTAGTGGCAGTGCGGGCAGCAGCAGAGCAGCAGCAGTAGCAGCAGCAGTAGCAGCAGCAGTAGCAGCAGTGGCACAGCAAAGTTCAGTCGACGGCGAGGCGCCTAGTAGTAGCAGTAGCAGTAGTAGGGGCTATCCAACTTGCCTGGCTGGGGCCGCCCGGGCTGCACCTGTGGAGGCGTCGTCTTGGTCCACGGCTGGCCTTTTAGTCATTTATTTTAACTATTATTATTACTATTATTGCTATTATTGAATTATTATTATTATTGTTATTGAATAATAATAGTAATAATAGTAATAGCAATAATAGTAATAGTAATAATAGTAATAGTACCAATAGGAATGATAATAATAATAATAATAATAATAATAATAATAATAATAATAATAATAATAATAATAATGAGTCGTGGTGGTGGTGGTGGTGGTGGTGGTAGTAGTAGTAGTAGTACCAGAGACAACCGGTGACCGCCCTCGCCGAGGCGGGAGAAGCTCTAGAAACCCTTACTACTGCTACTACTGCTACTACCTCGCCCCTATTCACAGTCCTTGCTGTGAACAGCCTGGCCTTGGCCCTTGCCCGGGCCCCGAGCCTGGAAGCTTACTGCTGCTGCTACTCCTACTGCTGCTGCTGCTGCTGCTGCTGCTGCTGCTGCTGCCGCTACTCCTCCTCCTGCTGCTGCTGCTGCTGCTGCTGCTGCTGCTGCTGCTGCTGCTGCTGCTGCTCCTGCTGCTGCTGCTGCTGCTGCTGCTGCTGCTGCTGCTGCTGCTGCTGCTGCTGCTGCTACTGCTACTGCTGCTGCTGCTGCTACTGCTACTGCTACCTCCCCCGTTCACAGCCCGGGCTGTGAACGAGATCCCCCCACCTGCCCTTCCCCTACTGCTGCTGCTGCTGCTGCTACTGCTGCTGCTGCTGCTACCCTCATCCCCCTGTTCACAGTCCTTGCTGTGAACGAGATCGCCCGGGGCTTTGGCCCTTGTGCCCGCCCCGAGCCTGGAAAGCCCTGCTGCTGCTACTACTACTACCTCCCCCCCCCCGCCCCGCCCCCGAGCCTCGAGAACCTCGAGAGAACCTGCTACTGCTACTGCTGCTACTACCCGGTACTCGAGTTGTGAGCCTTCAGGCGTGAGTGGATGGCGCGCCGCCTTCGCCGCCCTCGCCCTCGCCGCCCCGACGCCGCGCGCTGCGCTTGGACGGGATGCCCCGCCGCGCCCGTGCACCGCCGCACGGGACGCCTCGCCGGCAGCCTCGTCGCTGAGTCCGCCGCCGCCGCGGCCGCTTCGTCAAGCCGCCGCCGCGGCGCGCTCTGCAGAGTGTGAGCGCGGTCGAGCGCACACGCCGGCAAGGCGACGGGCGCACGCCCGCTCGCTCGGTGCGCAAACCCCGAAATCTCTAACACCCACATCCACACCACCCTGCTTACAGCCTCTCCACGCCCCGGCTCTCCGCTCAGGCCGATTCGCCGTTGCCATCTCACACATGCTCTTCGACCGCTCCCCGGCCCATCCGCCCCTCCCGCCCTCGCCACCCGTCCGGCCGCCCGAGCCGCCGTTGCCGCCGCCCTCCCCACCGCCCTCGCCGCCGCCGCCGCCGCCGCCGCCGTCACCGCCACCACCCAGGCAACCACCCCGCCCTCCGCCACCACCGCCGCCCTCTCCGCCGCCGCCATCGTCACCGCCACCGCCGCCGCCCTCTCCGCCGCCGCCATCGTCACCGCCACCGCCGCCGTCGCCTCTTCCTCCGCCACTGCCGCCGCCGCAGCCGCCCCCCTCCGAGCCTCCGCCCTCGCCGCCGCCTCCGCCGCCACCTCCCACCGCTCCTCCGCCGTTGCCGCCGCCGCCCTCGCCACCCCCGCCGCCGCCACCATCTCCCTCGCCGCCGCCACCACCGCCTCCACCGCCGCCATCACCCTCCCCGCCACCGCCTCCGCCCTCTCCGCCGCCGCGGAGCGCCTTCCCCGCCGCCGCCACCGCCGTCTCCGCCGCCGCCCTCGTCTCCTCGACCGCCGCGCGGCGTCTCCGCCGCCGGACGTGGCCCCAGCCTTCGCCGCCGCCTGCGCCGCCGCCGCTGCCTCCGCCGCCCTCGCCGCCAAAGTCTCCACCGCCGCCGCCGAGCCCGCCGCGCCCGCCCGCGCTGCCCCCGGTACGGATGCAGCTCGCCGCGGCGTGGAGGAGCCGAGAGGAGCCGAGAGGAGCCGAGAGGAGCCGAGAGTAGGTGTGGATGCAGCTCGCCGCGTCGCTCGGCGTCTCCTCGCAGGCATGCCGCCGCCGCACCGGGCCTGGCACATTTCATGCCGCGCGGAGTCGCGAGGGGCTAGCCCGGCCCTTGCCCCACCACCCTCGTGTGTGTGCGGTGAAGTGCACCTGACCTGACCTGACCTGACCTGACCTGACCTGACCTGACCTGACCTAGGCCGCCGCCGCGCAGCGCTCGTTCGGGGAGACTCAGCAGGCGGCCGCGAGCGCCGCAGCCAAGGCGAGGCGCCACATATCTCCCCATCCCGCCCCATCTCTCCCCATCTCTCCCCATCTCTCGCGCAGCCAAGGCGAGGCCCATCCCAACCGCGCCAAACGTCGTCGGCGGCTCGGCCTCATATCTCCCCACATCTCTCCATATCTCCCCATATCTCCCCATATCTCCCGCTGGGTGAGCGACTACGGACACCTCTCCCTAATCTCGGGGAATCTCGGGGAATCTCGGGTGATCCCGGGTGATCTCGCGTGATCCCGGGTGATCTCGCGTGATCTCGCGTAGGTGAGCGACTATGGCCACCTCGTCTCGCACACGCTCTTCGACCTCTCGCCGCCCACGCCGCCCTCGCCGCCCACTCCGCCGCCGCCGCCCCCACCCGCGCCGCCGCCGCCTTCGCCGCCGCCGCCACCGCCCTCGCTGCCGCCCTCGCCGCCGCCCCCGTCCATGCCGCCCTGGCACCCCCCGTCGCCGTCGCCTCCTCCGCTGCCACGGAGGCCTCCGCCGCTAGAAGCAGAATGATATCTCCCCCAGATCTCCCCCAGATCTCCCCGTATCTCCGCCGCCAGAGGCAGAAAGACGCACGCTCGAGACGACGCACGCATTCGGCGCTCCTCGGCCGCACTCCGCTGTAGTCAGCTGTACCCACCACCCACCACACCCCCTCGTCCTCCCGCGGTGCTCTGAAGACGCCGCACACAACACCGCCTCCCCGCAGCTGCCTCCCCGCCCCGAGGTTGGTTTTCTTTTTCCCTCGTAGGCCTCCGTCGCCGCCCTTCCAGTCGCACGGCATCCTGATCGGTGTGCCGGAGTAGTGCCGGAGTAGCGGTAGCAGCGGGTGTGGACTAGCGGCAGGTGTGGACCAGCGGCAGGTGTGGACCAGCGGCAGGTGTGGACCAGCGGCAGGTGTGGACTAGCGGCAGGTGTGGACCAGCGGCAGGTGTGGACCAGCGGCAGGTGTGGACCAGCGGCAGGTGTGGACTAGCGGCAGGTGTGGACTAGTGGCAGGGGGAGCACGCGCCCACGCAAAAGCACAACCCCACGCCCAAGACGCACAAGCACAGACCGTCGAGAGACAGGGAGAGACAGCAGCGACAGCGCTCACACTGCGTGTGCACACGCTCGAGGCACGAGTACACACACTCGCAACTCTCGCGCGCGAGATATGCGATCTCGCGCGCGAGATCGCAACTCTCGCGCGCGAGATCCTCCTTGCTCCCCCGCGCGGCAGGGTGGACCCCCATATCTCCCCATATCTCCCCATATCTCCCCATATCTCCCCATATCTCCCCATATCTCCCCATATCTCGCAGGGTGGACCCCCGAGTCGGCAGAGTGGCTCGGGCGCGTGTTTGGAAGCGGCTCCGACTACTTCGCCTCGTCCGCCGAGTACCACCCTCTCCGCCAGGTGTGGGGGGGGAGGGGGGGGGGGGCTAAGCATCCTGGGGGCGGGGGGGC